TGCTGAGAAATGAGAATGAGAAAAAACCCCACTAGATCACATTATATTTACTTGACTCAATATCATATTAGGACCTTCCTTCTAGAACTTTGTGCCTTTACTTATCCTACAGGAAAACCTGTGTCCTTTGCTTGTGTGGTTCTGAACAGGAACAATGAACGTTACCTGGTATCTGCACTACTCTGACAGTGTATGGCAACTATGAAAACTACTTTAATGTTTCTGGAGCAAGCTACTTAAAATTATAACAGTATTCTCCAAGTCTCAGAATAATTTGTCATCCATTTAGAGACTTGCAATAAATGGTGTAAAGCCCTCAATAATATTACGTCAGCAATTTGTTGATACACGCAGCCTAAGTTGAAGTTGGCATGTAATATCCATTTGTCTGTCTCAGTCACCCCTGAGACTTCATTGCACTTGCCCAAATATAACTGTATCTTGTTCAGATCTCTTCTGGAACTGAGACTCTTGGATGGGGGAAAATGGGCATTTCATCAGTTCCAGCTAGGAAGCTATTTACATGCCCCACGTACAACATATTTTGTGCCACCAGATATTTTTCACACCTGCTGCATCCGTAAGTCAGAGATAATTGTGTTTGGCACAGGACATCTGTGCTCTTCTGAGCTCTTCCAGGTTAAGAGACAGCTACTAGGACAATATGAGATGAAAGTGTCTTAAGAGTGAGCGTGTGTATTTGTGTGTGTGTGCACAAGCATCTGAGTGTGGGTATTGGGAGGTTTGGCGCAGCTGCACCACTGATGACACAGAATTGTGGAGTCCAGGTTCTTCCGGGCCACCTGCAACCACATCAGCTTCCAGTAATTATCTTGAATTGCAAAAGTTAGGCCATGGATACTAGTGAGGAGCATGCCCAAAGCCACCCCTGTACCAGCTCTTTACAGGTTGCTGCAAATGAGTGTTTTAAGGTCTCTTAAAGAATCACCAGCAAAAGTATTTGCTAAAGCAGATTTATTATTGAAGTGAAAGCATGACGAAGAGCATTGGCAAGGTTCATGCTATGGCTTACTAGATAGTTAAAGCAGAGAGAAAAAGCAAACAAAAATCCCAAACCAATCTAAAACTACCTATATGAAGGCTAGCAAGGGGCAGGGGAGGTGTGTGAGAGGGAGGGTGGGAGGATGGGGGAGGGGATGTGGAGGGGAGTGGGAAGAGAAGAGGATAGGACGGGGTAAGGATGAAGAGAAATGTGCAAGAGCCTTGTGTCGAGTCACAAGGTTCAGAATATATCCCCATGTTAAACTGGCCTACAGTTTATGCCAACCACCCAGCAGTACTTAACATCACTTAAACTTAACAGCAGTTTAACCAAATAACGTTTAAAATAGTTAAACTTAACAGAATATAACAGAACTTGAAATCAACAAAACTTACAAGTAACATTACTTAAACATAACAACACCTAACAGAATTTAAATTTAAGAGAACTAACCTTAACAGAACTTAACACACATTGAAATCAACAGAGCTTAAACCTAACATTGCTTAAATTTAAAAACACATAAACTTAACAGAAATTAACTTTATTTAAATATAATAACACTTAAACTTAGCAGAAATTAAATTTAACAGTGCTTAAACATAACAGCACTTAAACATAACAGCACTTAAAAGAAACTAAACTTAACAGAACTTAACCTTCACAGATCTTAATGGCACTCAATAGAAAATTTAACTTAAATTACTTATGAATGGATTCATATAGAATTTACTATAACTTACAGGCCTTACTTGAAAATACTTTAGCTAAAACAACCTTCTTCATTTATTTGCTCCAGCATTTCCACACTTGCATGCACACAAACATAAGTCTGTTCAACATATGCCTGCGAAAAAATCCCTTTCAATTCAGTGAAGTAGTCACTTTGGATGCCTTTGCATCTTTTCAGTAGGCTCAAGGTTGAACCTTGAGTAGTGAGGATATGAACTCTCAGAAATCATCATTGTTGTTTGGAGATTGTCCTCCAAATTTGGCAAGCTTGAGTGTTTTCTGGCTCTGAGAGGCCCTACTTAGAGGGAAGTACTGATTGCAGCCCCGTTTGGTCCAGCCCCTGAGGCGATCTCAAAGGGTCTCACTTTGGACCACTCTTTATAATGTCACAAGAGAATGGGCTTTAGTCATAGTAATTTTCCATCCTGACCTCAATTCAGGTCAGTAACTTTCTTCAAAAGTTTAATAATAAAAATGTTGTCCCACTTGGGTTTTTTTTCAGTCAAGGAAAATAAGTTACCAAGACTGTTCATTAAAAAACCGGAGCTCATTAGAGAGCGGCAGTTCCTTGGAACTCATAGATTGGCAGTCTGTTCACCTCTTGCCTCTGTGCCTATAAACAAAGATATATTATGTTCAAATTTAAAACTGATTGAAATTCTTGATCAGGTTACCTAAATAATGTTTTTTTAAAGATTGTTTTGAACATGATAAAGCAATATTTTAAGAGAGGATGTCTAGCTAGTACATGTCTAGCTAGTATACCCACTCTAAAATATAGAACTATATTCAACAATAAGAATAATACAACAAAAATAATAAAAATTACAGTAAAGTGCAACATTGCATCTAGAATTCCTGTTGCAGTTGATGATCACCCAAACCAAATATCTCACTAGTGATGTTCTCCATTTTTCATCACTCTTTCCAAGATTATTTCTGAGCTATGTATCAATTCTGTACCATGTATCCCTTTTGTGCTGTGATGTCTGTGAGTAGGGTTCTGGGTCTGCTGCTTCAGATACATTCCAGCAGTCAACAAAAGGTCATCTTGTTGCAGTAATTTTTTCACTAGTGCATGGCTCATCCCAAAGGGGTTGGACAGTAAATCTCAAAAGTATGTGTAGATAAATTGTAGTAATTCCTGTGTTGTGACAGGAGCTGGATAATTGAACTCACATCCCCTGATATTGGGTGCTTATTTCTATAAGCTTAATGGGCATTTGTCAGATCACAATTCAGTCTATTTAGTTACAAAGGCATATTTGACATTTATGCAGTGGAATAGATGTTCATGTTGAAAAAATGCTTAATCAGAGAAATTTTTGATGCACACTCAAAATCATGTGTTCAACTGGATAAGTGAGTATTTGCCTGCAAGGAGGTGAATAAATTGCAGGCAGTACCTAACCCATAATTGCATGGGTTCTCTTAGAACAGTTTCTTGCCAATATGGTGCAGAGACTCCCTCTCTTATATTCAGTTTACACAGAATGTTTCCAAGTAGACTGTTTTTGCACATTTTACAAGTCAAAATGTTTGCATTTGGGCAGATGTGGAGTTGTTTCAGCAAAACTAATTACCACCGGTTTATCTGAAAGAGCAACAAGACTGCTGGGTCCAATATTAAAAAAAGTGGCCAGCTACTAAAATTTAGAAAACATCTGTATGAACGGCTGCCTTCAGACTGGTCTAATTCCTCTCCTTCTTATCCTGGCACCCTCCAATGAGTCCTCTGGGACCTGTGGAGCCAAATTAAGAGTTTGCAGGGGTTGCTTTGGCAGGCGTATGAGTGGCTCTGGGACCTGGAGATGGAGAAGCAGGAGTGGGAGACCAGGAACAAGGAGCTGCAGCAGTGGCTGGAGGGCTCCAGAGGGAGCAGAAGAGGCAGGAATGCCAGGGTAACAACATCAGCCACTGGGTGGGCTCCGTGGAGCTGTTGGAACTTCAGACAGAGCTGAAGCAGAGCTGGTGCAAGACTGGGGTTTTGGCAGATGAAAAGTGGTTGTTGTAGGTAGAGGAGCAGCAGCAGTGGGAGCATGGTGAGGCCAAAGGCTGTGAGTGGGTGCTGAAGGAGCAGCTGAAAGTCATGAAGGCCCATCTGAGCCAGATGAAGGAGCATCTTCAGGTTCATGTGGACCATGTGGCCAAACTCTGTGACTTGAAAATACTCCCGAAAACCCTCCTGGAAGAGCAGAAAGATAACGTTTCCACAAGTCATGAGCTCAAGAGGAATATCCCTGTATTCTGCTGCTGGTGGTTCCAAAGGAGTCAGACTGGCAGCAGGAGCTGTGGCACCTACAGCACCTTCACCCTCCAGAAGCCCAGGGCACTAGTGCTGAAGTGGCCCAAAGGCATCCAACCTGGGTTGGGAGTGCAACTCCGAGCGCCATTACAACTTCAGATTCAATGTGTTCCCACCCGGAGCTTACCAAAGGAAATATTCCAGAAGATTCAGCTCCAGGCAACCCTGGGCAGATATGCATCTCTGCCTAAGGCCAGATGGGAAGTTTTTACCTCCAGTTTCCTGGAAATCTTCAAGAAACCTCAATGGGATATGATGCTGGGAAAGGGTGATTGTGGAATGCAGCTGGAAATATGACAGACTGGCCTGGGCAGCAACAAGTTCCAAGTGCACAACATCATCTGGATGTCCATGATGCAGGAGGAGGAGGTGCTGGGTCTGCTGCAATCATGTGCCAGGCCTAACAACTGCTCATCCCACAGCTTCTCTGTGTGCCAGCTGTACCTCCATAGAGAGCACTGTGCACTTGATATCCCCCACAACTGCTCACTGACTCTGGTGCACCTGACAGGGTCAGAGACCCTTGACAAAACCGCATCTGGTGGGAACTGGGTCCAGGAAACTCAACCCATAAACTCTAGCCTCAGCTAAAAAAAAAAAAAAAAAAAAAAAAAAAAAAAAAAAAAAAAAAAAAAAAAAAAAAGGCACATTCCACACTGGAACAGTAAATTGATGGGGTATCTACACTACACCCCATGGCTCAGACTTTGATATGGACTTGGTGATCCCTGGAAATGGAAAAAGAGAGAGAGGGAGAAGGGACAGAAGAACAGAGTGACAAATACAACCTATAAGGTGTCTTTAAGTATTTGAGGTAATCTATAATTCTATACAATGTGCAAATTGATTACCAAAACAAAAAGCAAAATTATTAACATTAAAAAGACAAGTAAAAGCTGCAACATTTTGTTAAGAATTCTCACTGCTGTTGGCAATGACTTAAATAAAATGTCCCACCAGTGGTGTTCCATGTCTCCCTTTATTTGTTCCATCTCTCAGTGGCCACTTTTCACATTGTGATGAACAGAATTGGTCTTTTTTACTTTGTCCTGTGCTTGCTTCAGCTGTCTCAAGTTGTCATGTGGCAGCTTCTTTACCAACAAGAGGTTCATGCCAAGAGGAAGAGGTTGTTAGGCTGGGAACAGGATATAGTCAGATTTCAGTAAATGGTAAGAGGAAACTGGAGCTCAGTAATTAAAACTGTGGCCCTTAATTTGAACTAATTTACAAACACAAATGTTAGATTGATTACTTGTATCTACAATAAGGTTGTCTACAAGTACAAAATAATAAACGATTGTTCAGGATGAACTCTTATCCATTCCACCAGGCCACACTCTGTGCTCCAGATGATAGACTATACCTCCGCTGTGATTTAATCCTGGCACAATGATTTGGCATATGGTAAATACCAAAGGATTGTCTCTTGCTAAAACAAAAACTGTGGCTTTACTGTTAATGGGATCAAAGGTGAAATTGACTAGTTGCCACTATCAGTGGAATTTCCTTACAAATTCAGCTGGGTTAATCCAAGTTACCTTTTGCATTTCAGAGGACAAATTGCTTTGAACTCCTTTATAATTGCTGCCACAATAAATTGCTGATAAATTTATAGCTGATAAACATCTATGGTGTAGAATGTAGTATGGCTACCACACAGCTTAGCATAAATAAAACAAGTGAGGGTCTCCCCTCTGCGGGTCGAGCTTGTTCATGCTTATTCATGTGTGGAGCAAATTTGGCTCATGCTGGCAATAATTGCACATACAAGGAGGATAAGCTGTCCTTTGATGGTTAACCTGATCTTCAGTAGGGGTGTGCTGACATCACTCCTAGGAAAAGAAAACCATACAAACCTCAGCCAGGTTTGTTTAGCAGCTTGGACTAATGACACAAGTCCTTTTCCTCATTCAGAATGTGTTTTATATCTTTAAACCCAATTGAATTGAATAGTGAAGATCTCTTTGGTCCATCAAGATCGGTTTGGTTTTGACATCCCTCAGGTGGAATCTAGTCTTCTACTTCACAAAGTGCTTCCTGCACTGCTGTTCCTGTTTCCCTCACCTTTTCTGGAGCTCATGGTGGTCTCCTGCAATTAAAGTTGTCTTCCACAAGTAGGATGCTATCTGAATTTGAGTTACCAGTTCTGTAAAACAGTAGAACACTGATTAAAGACCCAGTATTGGCATTCAATTTTTTCTGCAATAAACCTGTAAGCCACAACTGTCAGTTTGGCTTTTTCACCAGCCAAACAGGAGGATTAGAAGGGGAGTGTGATTGAGTGGTAGTACCTCTTTTCTCCAAATTTATTACCACCCTGTAAGTGTCCAAGCACCTGCCTGCTTTCTGCCTGTTGGATTGGCAATATTGGGTACCTCAGCTGTTATACAAGGCACCAAATCAGCCAGAACTTCAGAAATCCCACCTTGCTTCACAGCAAACATCCAGGACTGAGATACACCAGCAATCCTTGAATCAGAGAGTGCAGGCATTGCATTGAGAAAGTGCACTACAGTCTCTAAATTTCTTTTGGGGTTGAGGTTAACGTTTGAACCAAAGTACCACATTTGCCATCCAGCAAACATCAGGTTCTATAGTTCAGAGCACTGAAACCCAAATTTACATTGTGATCTTTTATTGTAAGCAAGTAGTCAGCATATTTCTCACACAGGATATCACCAATAAATAAAGCTTAGCAGCTTTGGCAGATAACACTTGCTGTGTTTACTTCAGTATTTTTAACTCTTTGCCATCTGGGTCATAGACTCAGATTCTCAGCATCTCACTGTGTTAATATTGAATGTAGAGTTCCTGTTTCTATTAGAAATTTTATTAATTGTTAAGGAGAACCAATTGTAATCTGGATGTTTGAAATAATGTCCTTATTATATATTCTTTGATAGATTCTTTGATAGAATTCCACTTTCTGTATTTCAATATCACTTGGTTTGTGGACATAATGTCCTGGCAAATCAATCATCTGAACTGGAATCTGTTCAATGCCAGGTAAATTGGGAACTTGTTTAAATATCACATCTACCTTTTCTTCCAGTTTATGGGGGTTTTTTTCTCCTTTGTTCCTTCAATGGTTTCTGCAGCTGCTCAAATTTCAATGACAGTAATAATTCAGCTGCTTTCCTTCCCACTATTTCCTCTCTCAGATCTTGTTTCTGTCTACTGTGGGTATCCAAATTCCCTAATAATTATCTTTCCTTACACTCTGCCAGAGCAAGTAGAGTCCTAAAGTGATCATTCTCAGCCAAAAGCTTATCAGCTTGTATTCTCAGCCTATCTCCTGTCCCTCTATCAGAAGCCAGTGATATCTTTAATACCTCATTTTCTGACAGTTTTATTTTTGGTGAGCTACTTTATATCTTTTCAACTATTGTTCCCATGTTAACTTTATAAAGAGAGCAAGAAGTAATTTCCCAGCTCCCAATTAACAATACCACACTGTGGGGCCATAGGAATGATAAGTCTCTCACACTCTGGAGTTCTAAGTCCTGTGTCGTCCTGTTTATTCCACCTGTGGCAAGGAAGTGTGACTTGCCTTTTCCCCAGGCACTGTACTACCTTCTCAAGAACAGGAGCAGATAATTTATACATCATTCATGAGAAATTCCCTCCTGCAAACCTTCCACAAACAATACATTCTGTCAGACACTACGACTCTGCTGCTCCTGACTGGGAGGTCCACCTCCCTGCTACAATGCCAGAATTGGCAACCAGTGACACAGCTGAGCTGTGCACTCTCCATAGTTTCTAGCTGGGGTCTCTGTCCTAACCTGGATCACCCCTCTCCAAGGAATCAGAACCTCCTGGCCAATAGAGAACCGAGTTAAGGACCACAGCTCTCTCCGGTCACCCACATTTAAAAGCACTCCTGTCCTGCTCAGGCTTCTGCCTCAGACAACCTGATTCAATCAATTCTATCACTCTCCAACCACATTCAGTTTCAGATTCCTGTGAGAATCTGTTATCCTTTCCCTGGAACTTTGCTATCTTTGCCACTGTAAAGAGCACAATTTCAATAACTGTTGTCTGGCCCTGACCATCACTAAAGGTTTCTAACTCCTGACATTCCTCCCACGAGGTTTTCTCTCTCACACACACATCCTGAAGCTCTGCATGAAGCCTGCTATGGCCACATTCAGCAGTGAGGAATGCCTCTGCCTGCAGCCTGCTCTCCTCTTCCTGCCTGAGCTCAGCAACCAGCAAAGTCTCTGCCTGCAGTCTGCTCTCCTTTCCACAATCATGCTCAGCAATCGGCAGCCCTTCCATTTGCATGTTGGCATACTTTTATTTTTGGGAAGTGGTTAAAGCTGCTTCCAAAAGTGCACCAGAAATATTTTACCTTTCCCCTCCATAACTTTTGTTCACTTAACAACACACTTACCTGATTAAATGCAGTCTCAGAGTTGTACCAATTTCCATTTGCCCAGTCTCTCAACTTTAGCAACATCAGGGAGCAGTCAAACATTGATATTTCCTGGACAGTCTTGGCTTAAAGCTGTTCTGATCCCTCCTGGCTGTTAACAGCCACTTCCCAGCACTCTGTGCATGGAAATCACAGGTGGAGTGGCAATACCCCAAAGGGACCCATTTGACTACAGCATAGCATCTGTGATAACCCACCCCTAAGGGGAAGGAAGCCCCTATGATTTGTAAATGCCCACTGTTGAAAGGAACAGCAAAAGTCAGAGGGTGTGCAAACAGTTAGAAAGTTCTATTAGCAAATCACATGCTTGGCATGGTAATTGGTATGGTAGTCCCTGACCTACTATATACTCAGCAGTGGGTTTTAGACAAACGGGCAAAGTGAAAGGGGAGAGAGAAATTAAAGAGGGATGAGTTAAAGTGAGCAAAAGAGAAATAAAAGGAAAAAGAAATAGGGATGAGTGAAAGGAAAAAAGGGAGAGGAGAGGAGAGGAGAGGAGAGGAGAGGAGAGGAAAAGAAAAGAAAAGAAAAGAAAAGAAAAGAAAAGAAAAGAAAAGAAAAGAAAAGAAAAGAAAAGAAAAGAAAAGAAAAGAAAAGAAAAGAAAAGAAAAGAAAAGAAAAGAAAAGAGTCCTGGCTTCAGCACTGATCCACCTAATGGAGTACCCACAGTCCTGACGCTAATGCCTAGGTTTTATGGGGGTTTCCTTTTTATAAATAAGTTTTTCCTATCCTGGAGATAAGTTTCTTGCTTTCTATACAAATCAGTTATCATGTGCAGCTCGTTCTTCTAGGTGTTTCTGGAAATGGCTTGAGGGACTTTGGGAGTGTTTGGTGGTCTTGATCCACCTTACTGGATCAGTCTTTGGTCAACAGTCCATGCCTGCTTCTTGACCTCAGTCCTGCCATTTTACTGCACTTTTTTGTACTTACCTCCAGAAGACAGAGTAAAGGATGTTTGTTCCAGGAAATTGCTGTCCTATGTCTGCATGGTCACCTTCTCCAGCTTCATCCTGCTCTTTTTCACAGCATTTTATTACCAACAGTTCTTGTCTGTCATTACCAACAATCCTTGGTGGGCTCCACATCTACCTGGCTGTCAGTGTTTGTGAAATACACATTAACCTTTATCTTCTGGACTTCTACACCCACTTGCATAATTTTCTTAGCTCTATTTATCCTCTCACACTTGCTGTTCTTCAAGCATGTCACAAAATTAGCCTCTGGAATGCCAGTGCCTTCTTCCCAGAGGACCATTTTGTAATACCGGGCATCCTCCAGTTCACGTCAGCTCTCTGTGTGGCCCTGAAGCTCTCGTCAGGAAAGTCACAAGGGGAAGAAAGTCCCTCTAAAACCTACATCTTTAAAGACAAGAAAAAAATTGATTTTTGCTTTCCTCTACTAACTTAACTACAGGAAACCATCATTTGCTAGAGTATGAATGCATACTTTTTTCTTCTTCTGCTTAACCCTCATTCACATTTAAGCACCAATGAAAGACAGTTGGCTGTGGCTAGGAGAACTTTTCCTGAAAGGGGGCACCAAAATATGGGAAGCCAAGTTTCATCAGCCTCACCTTCTAAGCAACAGATCTGTGTGATTAGAGGGATGCTGTAAGTCTGGAAAAAGTGTCTCATCTGATTGCCACAGCCTACCAATCCAAAATTCCCTGGTAATGTTTGTGCTTCAGATTCTGTTCTGTATAGAGAATTACACATTGTCCTTGCCCATAGGCAAGGTGCCACAGTCTTACACTGGGGAGAGTAAGATTTGTGCCATTGGCAACAAATCTCAACCCCCTACACACGAAAATAAAATCTTTCTTCTCTCCCTGAGTTTTTATTTTCAGGTTTGGAGTTCACTGAGCTATGCAAGCTCATATAGCTGTTATCCATTTCAACATTAATGACAGGAATATTCCACAGTTATACATATTCAAAGAGGGATCAACTAAGTATTAACATGACTGAAAATCTTACTAACAGTTTTTGACTGCAAACATCATTTCATGCCTTTGTGGGATAGACTTAAACTGCTACAATCAGTAGCTGAGCAAAGAACCTCTATGGCATTTACCTTCTAGTGTGTGTCACTCCCCATGAAACCTGAAGCTTCATGTTTTGCTACTCCAGTTGCACATTGACAGAATAGAAAATGTTACAGTTTTGGACAGAGATAGGTAAACTATGCATTTTATCCTTTATTAGTTAAACAGGAATAGCATGAAATCTGAGCTTGTTGGCAAAGCAGGTGGAAAGGGTGCACAATTTTCAGAAAGACATAAGTAGGTTAGAAGGTGGAAAAGGTCACTGTACACCTGTATGAAACACTATCTTAGGCATCATATTTTCTAGATTTCAGAACGTTCTGTAAAACACATGGTCCATCTCAAAATATTCTTTAAACGGTTTTAACTAGGGCACAGAAATGTAAGTTATTTCTGAAACCTTAGGTTGTTAAAAAAGAGACCTGGAAAAAGACAACCTATATGAGCCTAAATTCTCAGTTTTATCTGAATATCCAAATCATAAAAGTGGATCTAGTATGCAAAAAAAAAGTATGGGTTATGGTAAAGCACAATTGATTAAAGCATTAGTATTAGACACTGTATCTATTCATATTAGGTGACATTGAAAATCTGATATTTTACTGGATTACAGTCTTATGTTAATAAGTGAGTTTGGATTTTAGATTAATTTTGTTTCTTCCTCTTTCCTTCTGCACCTATTCATATCAGAGCAATCACTTGTAAACTATTAATCTTGCCTTTGAATAAAAGCCATATATCCAAGTGATAGTGATGAAACATTAATTTTAAAATGCTCAAGTGGAACATTGTAGCTATGCATTTTATTTCACACTAATCGGCTCAGAATGAGACAAATCCTGTAGCTTCAGAGTGCTGCTTGGGAACTGGAAGTGGTTCATTCCCACAACAAAAGTCAAGCATGGTGCTGCCACAGATGATGCAGCCCTGCCCCAGAGTAACTGACTGTGCAGTAACAGAGAGAAGGCAGGAGAAAGCAAGAAAGAAAAAGGAAGAAAGAGAGAAGAAGGAGGGAATCAGACAGGAGATTAGGCAGTCCAGAGGATCCAATACTATTCTATTGTGGCTGGGGAGGGGGGGGCTGACTGTCCCCCACACTATTTGTATTTTAGAAGCAGAAGGCTAGGAGGATTTTCCAGACCCTCAGGCCCAGGAGAAAAGCAGTAGTGCCCAGTGAAGTGGGATGCTGTCCCTGGAGTGGGGGTTAAAACAGCTCAAACAATACTCTGTTTGCAAATCAGTGGTGAATAGAGAAGGGGGTATCGTGCTGGGTTTGGTGTTGAAGAATGCAGAAACCAGCCTGACTCAGCCTGGAAGTTAAACATCTTTGTAGTGAGGTGAAGATGTGGCAGACCTGATAAGGCACCTGATAAAGGAAGCAACAAATTAGACTATACCACTACTAACTCAGCTGACACAGCTGGCCTGGAGACATATGACAGTCTATCACGTTATATTATAAAAGCCCAGTCCCACTTTTTAACAGCAGGTTATTCCAAGATAGTCTTTCTTGGAGAATTTGTGGACATTCCTACCTTTAGTGCAGACATCCCTCAGGGTTACTCCTCAAAGGAGATTTGCCCAAGGTAGCTGCTGAGTAAGATCAATCTTACTTATTAACTGTTTTTGCCAGCTTTAATTGCCTCAATATTGCTTCAAAAATAGTGCACTATACCATACCATTAGTTACAACTACTTATACTCTGCAATAAATAACTCTGATTAAGACCTTTTAGTGAAATCATTGTCACAATAAATAATTTCTTTTTATAGAATTATTTTTTTTTGCCATCCTGAACCATGCACGACAAACTTCTACAAAGACAAAGATTCAGTCACACCTATATAATCTTTTACACAAAAAAAATTGTCAGTCCATGGCTACGATTGGATCCAGCCACACCCAGGCTCCTCTGAGAAGGAGTTTAGAAAGCAAGGGTGTCCATTCTATGCCTCATGACTCAACAGGAGGGCTTCTCAAATAAACTTTATCTGAAGCTCCATTCTGACACCCAGTCATCTACACAGTACCTACGCTGCTCAGCAGCTTGCTCCACTGCATTGCAGAGTGCTACAGTGAATTTGAAATACATCTTCCCCTGGGGAACGAGAAAAATTTGTGGGTTTTACTGCTCTATTTTCCTAAATTTTTTTTGTATGTGATTAAAATGAAAACATAAGCATTGAGATGTCATTATATAACCACTGTTTTTGTATAATAATGTGCCTGTTTTTCTTCCAATACCTGCAGAAGCTAAAAAATTTATGAAGTATATTAAAGTGGTCAGCTTCATCATTCAGTATTATGTCTGACTGAAACAGTTATATTCAAATAGGGGATTAATCTGTTGTTTATATGGTAAGCTGAATTCCTAAGACACATTGTGTTTAGGGAATGCATTTACTTCTGAATCTGAGCTTATTGTTTATGTTTGTAATGCTGTTTTTATTTTGTTTTAATTTTTGGAGTTCTTCCTATGAAATTCTGTTTTTCAAATTTTCATAGCATCAAAAGTCCTCAGCTTAAAGATAAACATAGTAAAAAACCAACCAGCCTCAAGCAAAAATACAATTTTGGAGATTTTTTTTCACTTCTTTTCAATCTTAGAAAGCGAATCACTCCTGTTTTGCAACACAACAATCAACCCATAATAGCAATATTACCACTTGAAAAATCAGATGAAGCAGCATACATGTGATTAGCTTGCCTGAATGTCAGCACTCTGCCAAGATGCCCTAAACTCTCCAATACTTGCATCAGGCAAGAAAACCACCTGAAAATGAAAAGCCTTCTTCCAGAGCAGTACTTTTAGGCCACACACGTGATCTTAGGGAACCTTTGACAGCATTAGATTCCTTTACATGGGAATGCACTCAGTTAAGGAAACATCCATCTCAAAGACTATACCATTTAGAAGCCATTTGGAAATTCAAGTCAGAGCTGGACACTACTGCCTGGACATGAAGAAGCAAAGCATGTGTGATGCCACTGACTGTTCTAGAAGTTTTGTTTTTACCCATAGTTCTCATGACAACAGCTACAAAAAAATATCAAAGCCCTAACATGATTAAAAAAAATAAAAATAAATATTCTGTTTAATTTCCATGTGAGAAAGGAAGAAATATAGTATGTTTTTGCAGGTAGGGATCAAATATCTCTCTCCTCAGGACAAGTCCCAATTTCTGAATGTTAGCCACAATTTGAAGAATATTTACTTCCAGCTTTATTAGAAGAAATTGTTGGGTTCCTCCTCATATAAATTTAACACAATAAAATCCGCTTAAACACAAAAGTAGCTCTTCTGAAAAATATGGGTATAGAGAACATTGCATTTG